GCTTACAAAGCAAAATGATTGGGAAAGAATGTCTTCCTTTTAAACCCTCAGGTTCTGGCAGGTCCTTAAGCAGAATCACTCCCTAGTCCTCCAGTGGTGGGTGGGGTATGATATAAGAGAAATGGAGTAAAAAGTCTAGCATCAAAACCACCAAGGAGTTAGGCCATTTACATTGGCTTTTTATTCGCCTTTATTCTGAGGCTGTTTTGGCGTATGTCTGAGAGCATTTCCTTATATTCCCTGTATTTTAATTTGCCTGGAAACAACCTACGACCCATTTTTTATTGGACAGAGTGTGACTCTAAATGCTTAGATGTAGGAAAGACAGAAAAATTCATCCATTCCACAAACAAGTATTTCTGCAACACCCACTTTATGCCAGGAACTACCCTTGGTGCTGGGGAGATACGCAACCACCAAGACAGATATTCTTTCTGTAGCGGGGACCTCACATGCTAGGATGGTGTTCGCAAACTCCAGCCCACATCAGATCCAGCTGGCTGCCCGTTTTGTGCAGGGCCTCAAGCTAAGGGTAGTTGATGTATTTTTAATGATTGGGTAATGATGGGGGAACAAAAGAAGAAAAATGGAAAAATGGTTTATGACATGTGAAATACACATTTCTGTGTCCATCAATAAAGTTTTATTGGAACTCGAATGTTTGTTCATGCTCAGACTACTATACTACAGGGCAGTGTGTATCTGGCCTACAAAGTCAAAAATAGTAACTCTTTGATCCTTTACAGAAAAAGCTTCTGCTCTAATGGATGAGAGAGACAATACATAAACAGATTCATATACATTTCTGGCAGGGAAGGGTGCAAAGAAAAGGCAGGAGGGGGAGAGAGAGTAGTTAAAAAGGCAACTTTAGGCAGCATGTTCAGGGATAGCCTCTCTGAGCTAACACATAACTGACAAGGAGCCGTCGGAGCAGAGGAGAGAGGGAATAGCATTCTGGCAGAGGAAGCAGCAGGGGCAAAGGACAGGACGCAGCAAGAGCAAGGCAAGGTGCTTCCAGCTGAAGGGCAGCAGGCATCAGAGGGGGCTGTAAAGCACAGAGAGGAAAGTGTCACAGAGGACAGAGAAGGGAAGCTAGGGAAATGGGTCTGGAATTTTTTCCAAGGACAACAGGAAGGCACTGGAGGGTTCTAAGTAGTCAGAACACCTTATCTAACCAGCAAGACACTCCCAGAACATCCAAGTCAAAGAAGGGAATAAACTCTAAACTAATTCATCCTACCAACCCTGAAATCAATTCATTGATCTGCTCAGTGCCTTGGTATTTAGGTGATACAAACTTTTAAAAATGCTGCTGTCAAATTCATTTTATTGTATCAAGTATTGGTAACGAGCACATCAACAACCCCACGATTACACCACCATCAGTTTTCAGGAAGAGGTGAAGGCTGAGTAAGTGAGTCAGCTTAAATCAATTTATACAAAACTGTGCAGCAAGTTGACAGGGAAAGACACAGTGACCAGGAGGGTGTGGAAGCCTGAGCAGGAGATGTGCAGGGGCACAGAGGGCAGGATCAGCCTGAGGAAAACGGCCAACTGCACCTGGTGGTCCCCCAGCAGGGCGGCTACTGGGTGGCATGGCTGCGTCTACCCTGCCGAGGTGGAAGGTGTAAACTGAGAAGGACGGGGGAAAGGCAGTCAGGCAGTGGGGAAGGACCTGGACGGCCATACTGGAGTATGGGCCAGACACAGTTTGCAAATATCAGCCACTCCCTATGGGGGCAAGGGTTAGGGGACAAAGGGAAGGCGACCATGGCCAAACGCCAGGCTGCTTCGGGGGTTAAAAGCTGAGTGAGACTTGTCTCATCTGGGGTAACTCTCCCCCTTGGGGACACTGCATGAAGTCAGGGCCATCTGCGGTTGTCAGCACTGGGGGTACTACTGACATACAGCTGGTGGGGCCAGGGATGCTGTTCAACATGCCACAGCACTCAAGGCAGCCCCTCATACAGACAGGACAGGGGGAAGATGTCCCAACAGAAGCAGCAGGCACAGCTGAGTAATGAATCAGCTCAGTACTCCCAGCTTCCTGGCGCCACGCAAGGCACCCCAGTGTCTTTCATCCCCTTTGATCCTCACAATCACCCAGGATGAGTTTTCATTATACCCATTTTACAGAAGAAAGCAAGGCCCAAAGAACGTGAAGTGACCTGTCTCAAAGGAGGGATGTGAACCCAGTCTCTCAGACTCGAAAGTCTATGTAGGAATAGAGGGGAGGGCAGGAAGGCAGGAGCAAGGTCAAGAATACCAAGTCACACAGAGTGGAGCTCACTGCCTACGGGCAAATGGAGGCACCCTGGGAGTCCACCAAGCAGCCAAGGGACACATCTTGGGAGCAGAGCCAGAAACTGGCCAGGGCTACTGGTGAGGCCTCAGGGTGACCAGTGAGGATGTCAAGAGTTCCCACAATTGCGCCTTCTGCGGTAGCTCACTTGTTCTCCACCCCCTACACAGCAGCCTTGGGAAAGCTCAGTGACCCCCCCTCCTTTCCCACTTTTGTTCTTGAGCAAGTGACTGACCCAAGGTCACCCAGTGCTTAACTCACACATACTTCCCGATCCCAGGAAGAAAGCCAACCAGAAATGCTCCCTTGTCCCTTGTCATCCATCACTTCATCCAACTCACCCCCTGAACGAGGCCCTACATCACAGCTATGACCATATCCTGGGACACCCACCCCTCCCTTTCCCCCACTAGTCCCAAAGCCTCCAGAGGTTAGAGACTCTGCAACCTTCCTCAGCACTCAAACATCCCCAGGCCAGGTGCATGCAGGACGCCCAACATCCATTTTCCCAGGTGTCAGATGAAAACAAGGAACAGATGGCTTCCCAGGGCAAAGGCTCTGCTGGGCCCCCAAGGGAAGGGGATGGGGCACAGGAGGGCAGGAGCAGGACACCAGGAGAGAAGGAGAAAAGCAGGATCAAGTATAGGCAGGGTGGCCAGAGAGGGAGGGGCCCTGATTACTTCAGGGGGCTCCTGCAGGAAGAGGAAGAAACCAAGGGTCTTTAGAGGAGATAGGAAAGTGTAACAAAGAACCAAGCAGGGTCCTGAAGGTCCCAGCAGCTACATCCCTGAGCAGCTACACCCCTAAGCACTAGTAGTTAACTTTTCCTTAGAAGTCCACTCCCCTGAGGAAACGATTAGAAAATTCAAGAAAATCAATTGTTACTAAGGGCTGCACATATTTCTTGTCTCAACCACTTCACACAGGCTTGGCTCCTGACACAGCATCCGCTTGCATGCATAGCAACACCTGAGGGCATTAGTGCAACCGCACCTCCACCACCCCCTGTGCTTCCCAGAGTCAGGAACCTCCCCCAGGGCAGGTTAGTCTGACCCACACAGTGTCCCCTGCACCAGGGGAGCACCAGGATTTCCCAAGCGTCCAATCAGAAACAGGAAAAGAGGGCGAGCGAGTTGCGGAAACCCTCAATTCAGAGCCTCACAAGCCGACTCTACCACTTTTACCTGCTGTCCAACGGGGCTCCAAAAAGCAGATTGCAAAGATGAGAGAGGCTACCCACTGCTCTGGCAGGGGTGGAGAGAAAAGGCCGACCAGAGTTGACAAACCCTCCCGATGCCTCCTAAGGAAGCTATTATTTGAGAATTACGGGAGTCATTAGCTCGTACCCAGCAATGATAAAAGCCCATAGGAGTCATCTAATGAGCCCATTTTAGGGGCTTTCTCCTGCCTGGGGACAGTAGGATAAATGGCTGTTGAGGGAGAAGGGTGGGGTGGGGCACCAAACCCATGAATGCATTCCAGTATCCTCTGACCCTAAGACAGTGCCGGCACCCAGCAGACCTAAAGGAATTTGCTTGAATAAATGCCATTGACAGAAACACTTGGAAAGGAACACACTCCTTATATATTACCGCAGGATCACCTTCTCTCACTAGTTTCATAACGGGGCAAGCAGTTCCCCAGGTGCACCTGAATTATTAAAACAAAAGCATCCTCCCCCAGCCAAACAGATGGGACACACCAGAGAGCAGTCCACGCCTCCCCCAGTCCCTGGTTTAAAAAAAATAAAATAAAATAAAAAACCCACAAATAAACAAAACAAATCCCCTGCAAACCTTCCACTGTACCCGAGTGAACACACACCCCATTCTCCCCGCTGTCATCCAGCCCACCCGGCACCGGCCCAGGCCCTTGGGGGGGCGGGGGGCGGGGAGGGAGAGGTATCCTTTCCGGAACGAATCCGTCCCCCAGATCCCACACGGCAGGATGGGGCAGCCCCAGAAGCAGCGACTTCAATTTATTTCTACAGCGAAGAGGGGCTCCGAGACGGCCATCGGGATTGGGGGGAGGGACTAGCCGCACAGCAAGTGGATACATTTTTTTTAATCCAGATTGCACGCTTATTTCAGGGAGGCTCGGGGAAATGGGGAGGCCAAGTTTGGAGATTGCACTGCGGGCCGACGGGGGGAGGGGTGGGGAGCACTGATGGCTATTTCGGGGGGCACCACGGGGAAGGGCCCCGTGAATCCCCCCAGTACCCAAAGCGCCGGGGACGCCGGCGGGTCTCGCCCGGGGCCTGGGATCGCGCTCGCTCTCGCTCTCTGATTATCAGGATTGTTGTAAATAGGGAGCGAGCAGGGCCCCGTCAGGGCCCGGCCCTGTCGGGGCCACCCACGCTGTCATCTTTTGTGCGGGGCTGGCGGGGGCCGCCCGGGCCCAGCCCCCGCGCGCCCCGGGCCCGGGCAGCGGCGCCCCCGCCTCCCGCCCCGGCCCTGCCATTGTCCGGCCGCGCCGCCCCCGCCCGCAGGCCCGGTGGGCGCTCAGGGCCGGGCGGTTAACGCCCCCAACCGCCTCGCGGGCCGGGACAAAGCGCGGCGGTCGCGGCCCGAGCAGGCCGCGCCCGAGGCCTGGGCCTCGCGTCCCGGCGCGGCCGCAGCTCCGGGCGCGGCGCGGGGGCAGCGGCGGCGGCAGCGGAGCCCGCGCTCGGACGCGGCCGGCCGCCTCCCCGCGGGCTCACCTGAGGCGGCGCGCGCGGCCCGGTCCGGGAGCAGCGGCGCGCGCTCCCCCGCCCTCAGCGTCGCACCCCCAGGCCCAGCTCGGGCCGGGCCCCGCTCGGTTGCTGGCGGCCGAGCCCTCCGCGATGCTCCGGGCGGGGCTTATGAGGCCGCGCGCCAGCTCCGCCCCGGCTGCCATTGGCCGCCGATCCCACGCCCGCGCGCCCATTGGCTGCTGCTGACAGCTCCTCCCCTCCCCTCCGCCGGGCCCATCAACAACGCACGGCCCGCCCCCTGCGTGCCTCGATTGGGCGGGCGGAGGAGCCGGGCTCCCCGCCTCATTGGCCGACGGGCCGAGACACGCCGGCGCCCACCCACGTGCCCGCTGACCGGCTCCCTTCTCATCGGAGCGTGAGGACGCCAGTCAAGGCGGCTGCCACCAACCCGACGGCGACTAAGGCCCGATTGACAAGGCTTCCTCGGGGACCGCCCAGCCACATCACGGAGGCAAGCGAGGATTGGCTTGCGCGGCCAGCCGGAGGTGCGGACTGGCTGGGGCGAATGCCAATCCTGGCCCGGGACCCGCCCTGGTTATCAGGCGGCTGCTGAGTACGTGAGACCCAGCACAACATCAGAACCCGACCAGGAAGGGGTTGGTGGGTTCGAGACCCGCAGCCGCAACTGGGGGGCCGAGTTCCCCAATTCGCAAATGCCGGAGTTAGGAGACCCATTTTGCAAAGGAGGAGCGCTGAGAACTGCAGAGACAAAGTTAAGAAGCAATCGCCCCCGCACCGCACCCCCCGAAAATCAAATTCATTCCCATCACAATCAACAAAGATTTGCAAAGGGTCGAGGCCTTCAGATGACTTTCCACGGCTTCCCTCCAGTTCCCTAAGACATAAGTAAGGGAGACGAGGCGTTTAGTGGTTCCTGACCTAGTTCAGAGTTCAGCCGGCTGCCACACCTCACTGTGGGTGGTCCCCCACAAAGTTACAACATTGCTGGGCCCCAGTTTCCCCTGTGCAATGGATATGATTGTAATAAACCCCCATGCACACGCTCACAGGTATGCCCCCTCCTGCGATTGTTCCAAGAAGAAAATTATCACCGAGTACCAGGCAGGTGTATGGACACGCTCTCATTTCACTGGCAGGAGTGTAAATCAGGCAAGTTTTTAAAATAGCATTTTAAGTGCATCTACACCGTAACCCAGCAAGCCTGCACGTCTGAAGGAGGCTCGGAGCAGCACTTACGAAATTGTTTCCAATGTTTTGCTGTAAATAGCCATGGGGAGGGTATTTGATAAGGAACTTGTGGCACAAAGCAGCTGGAATACCTAACTATGTAACAATTAAAAGGAGGTGAATCTGCATGCGCTGTCGCAGAAGGATACTCTTCACATGTCCTGGACCAAGCTGCAGAAGGGTTCACCGTTAGGTACCCAGCAAGATAGACTATGGAAAGGAAGCAGAGAAACCATGTCTCCTTGTTTCTGAGTGCACATACCTGTGTCTATGCTCAGAAAAAGCTCCCCACACCCCATGCTGTGGAAACTAATTTCATCTTTTGGGAGAGGAGAGATTCACACTGGTTTAAAAACAATAGTTGTTGGTGATTTGAATCTGGAGAATTTAAATCCACATAGGACCTATACACATGTTCCTCATGTAGTTAAAATTTAACTAAAAAAATAGGAAATACTGAATGTCCTCAAAAAATAAGAAATTACTGAATGTCTTCAAGATACACCCTAACCAGTGGGGGGAAAAATGGACTTTAATAACAGTGATCGCGTCAAAAGTGCAAGAATGAAGGGATTTTCACACACCCGTGCGCGCGAGCACACACACACACACACACACAAGCCTTTTCTTTTTTTTTCTATTTCCAAGTTTATCCTGTAAGACAGTTATTTCCAGGTATTCGGATTCCATATTTTGAATTTTTTTTTAAATTGTAGGACATTAAAAGGTTGCCAACTTTCTTATTTTGCTTTAAAATGCCATCTATTATGTGAAAAAGTTAACATTAACAATTGTAGTCTCTAGACAGTAGGTATACGTAAGAGCTCACCATGCAATTCTTTTAAGTTTTCTGTTTCAAAGTTTGCATCATAGAAGTCAGGGGGGAAACTATAGTAATGTCAATGCAAAGGACACACTCAGAATTTTCAAATGGACAAAGAAATGGGGGAAAACACCTAGTTTTTCCCAATTCTGGTTTTCAGGTCTTTGTGGAAGCATGCTGGGGATCATGCTGGGGATCTCTTCCGCATGGCCAGGGCCAGTGGGTTCCAAATTTCTAACTGGCCTCCATCTCTCTTTTTCCCTGAGTGGACAAGGTGTGGAGCTGAGAAATATCTAGCGCTCTACAATTTCTCTCCCATTTACCGGTTAGCCTAATGCATAAACAGTAGAGATGTGGTAACATACAGATAGTCATTATTTTTTACATCTATTTTGTACATCTAAAACTAACACATTACATGTCAGTTACACCATACACCAAAAGAGGGGGGAAAGAAACAAATGGAAAGATAACGCCTCATATGTGATTAAAAAATAATTTTTTGAAATATATTTGGGGGAAGAATGCTAGCATTCCATTTCACTGCAAGCATATGTTACTAGACATATATGTAGCATGTTTCACACAAACATATATGGACACAGACACACAAATCTGCACACACCAGACCACCACTGGCATCTGTTTCCTAAGGGGCTAGACATAAGGTGGCTACTCCAGAAATGAACAGAAACCAGGCACAAGTCAGTACATACAGCACTTCCCTAATTTGTTCTTTAAAATTATATAGAAAACAGGGGCCTCCCTGGTGACACAGAGGTTGAAGTCTCAGCACTATCAAGCTATCGCCAGCCACTGCAGCATGAGTTCAATGCCCAGGCAGGGAGCTGACCCACATGGTGCAGCAGCCCTCTTCTATCTCGCCTGCTGCTCCCCTCAGCAGTGTATCTCAGTAGATCTGCCTGTTCTGCTCCCCACTCTGTCTCTGGTTAATCCTCTCACCCCCACCCCTGCACCTCTGGCCTATATTCCAGTTCTATGCATAAATAAATAAATAATCTTAAAAAGATATATATATATAAAATAAATAAAATTATATAGAAAACAAAAGTACAGAGAAATACAGCTGGCTTTGCCATGTTCTTGGGTAAGCTACCTGACCTCTCTATGCCTATTTCTCAACTGTAAATGACTGTAAGTCAAAGCTACATTCAGAGGTTTGTTTTAGGTTAAATTGGCAGTACCTACACATACACATGTACAAATAAAACCTGAAAAGGTTAGTCCTCTAGTGGCGGAATTACATATTTTTACTTTGTCTTCAGTTTCCAAATGTTCTAAAGGGATATGTTAATTTTATAACCTGGGGCAGAAGGAGAAAAGGAACACTTTTAAAAGGTCAACCAGGTAGATTGGGAAAGGTGATATAGTCATAGAATGGAATATTATTCAGCCATAAAAAGAATGAAGCAAACACACACTACGACATAGAGGAACTTTAAGGACATTGTGCGGAGTGAGAGAAGCCAGACAAAAAAGGCCACAGTGTGTGATTCCATTGATGTGAAATGTTCAGAACAGGCACATCCTCAGAGACAGTGGATTACCAGTTGTCAGGGTTGGGGGAGTGACAGCTTGTGGGGGTGGGATTTCCCTTGGGAATATTCTAGATTAAACAGAATGTTCTGGATTTACATGGAGTGTTCTGGAATGTTCAGCAATTACAGGTGATATTTGCACAACTATGTGAGTACACTAAAAACCACTGGACTGTAAACTTTAAGTGGGTGAACTTATGGCACCTAAAATATCTCAGTAAAGCAGTTGTGAAAAAATTAACAATCTACCAGGAAAGAAATGTCTAATGTCACCGTTTCTCAAGTGGTTTCACAAAGACACTTTTCTGGGTTTGCTAATTTTTAACAATGACATTGTACTTAACTTTTTTTTCTTTTAAAGATTTATTTATGCGTACAAGAGCTGGCGTGTAAGCCAGAGATGCCAGGGGTGAGAGGATTCACCAGAGACAGAGTAGGGAGCAGAACAGGCGGATCTACTGAAACACTGCTGAGGGAGCAACGGGCGAGACAGGAGAGGTCTGCTGCACAACATGGGTCACATCTCTGGCCAGGGATCAAACTCATTTTTCAGTGGCTGGCTGCGGACAGCTACATAGGGCTGAGACTTAACCCTTTGCGCCACCAGGGAGGCCCATTGTATTTATCTTTTAAAATGAGAGAAACATTCAAAAAGCCAGCAAGCTCAGCAATCATAATTGGCCTTCTTCGGTGTGTTCAGGCCCCAGGTAGGTAGGGTTCATCTGAGGATATCTTAGTTCCCTTCATTCCTCAGTCAGGTATCGTTCCTATTTTTATTGCAAGTTCATACCTGACATTTTTTTAGATATTATTTGTATACTTACAATTTACCTATGAAGGGTTACAATTAGAAGCATTCTTGGTATATCCAGATATGCACAACCATTACCCAGTGTATTTCATCACCTCAAAAAGAAGCCCCTTCAGTGATTACCTCCCATCTCACCATACTCTGTCCCAGTATTAAATGATCACTAATCTTTCTGTCCCTTTAGACCTGTGTTGGACATTATATAGGAAGGAAATCATAGCATATATGATCTTTTGTCACCACTTCTTTCACTTAGCATCATGTTTTCAAAGACACACTTTGACATGCCTTAAGGACTAAGAGTCAGACCTTTTTTCTGTTGATTCAATCAGATCTGCCCCCATCATTACTTGACTATCAACAAAAGGGGGTTACAGTAGGTAAGAGGTAAATATAGTCGACCTTGAACAACACAGGCCCACTTATAGGTTGATTTTTTATTAACAGATTTAACCAATGTTGATTTAATCTATGCATGCTTAAGCATGGAAACACAGGGCGACTAGTAAGTTATACTCAGATTTTTTTATTGTGCAGGGATAGGTACCCCTAACCCCGGGGTTGTTCAAGGGTCAAGTGTAATTGCATCTGCAGAATTTAGCACTATTGCCTTTCCTGGAGCTTATTTTTAAACACGCCTAATCTTTGGCCTCTGACTTCTGCTGCTGGAAATTGCATTTCATGCCCACAGTCCCCATACCTCTCGGTGTGCCCAATTTTCCCCTGGCCTACAGGAAATCCCCGCCTAAGGTAAAGTGATTCTTTTGTTGATTATTCTGGCTGGTGACACCCAGACAAGGTAGAGCTGGTCTTTAAGCTGGAGCCCACCACAATGACCACAATGTAAGTGGGGACACCCCCCTCGATAAGAATCAGTGGCCCTCCCAATTCTTAGATGGAAGGTGGGGTTTGGCTCCACAGCGGTCGTTTGCTGTATATATAAAGTTAGGAGTCACTGATCTCCTGGGTCTCAGGCTTCTCATCCACAAAGTGGGACTGACGATGCCTGTTAATTGTCTCCTGGGGTTTTTGCCAAGAGAAAATGAAATATAGTTGACTCGTGAACCACATGAGTTTGAACTGCAGGGGTCCACGTAAATGAGAAATTTTTCCATCCCAGGTTCCCCATTCAGCCGATCTTGGATATTGGTTGTTTGAACCCAAAGTTTGTGAGCCGGCAGATACCAAGAGGTGCCTGTAAAAGACTTGAGCACCCTCAGATTTTGGCAGCCACAGGAGCCCTGGAACACCCCAAATGACAACTGTTGTTAAGTTTTGAGGCAGGGGAATCAAAGTTATATTCAGATTGTGTGTGTAGGGGTGTCACAGTTCCTTACGCCCCAAGTTGTTCAAGTCAACTGTAGGTACAAAAGAGACCAGCGGACTACAAGGCGATTTGCAAATAGGGAAGACACAACCAAATACATCTGTAAAAAACATTTATTTTAAGAATCTAAAATCTGGACAAAGAATATTGAAATTATTAGAAAAAGCCTACACAGGATTTTGTTGTTTTTCCTAATACATTAACAATCTAATAAGAAAAAAAAACCCAAAACGTTTAAAACATGTTGCTCCAGTTTGTCTGCAGTTATGTGATTTAAAATATCCCTGTTCTATTGAGGTATAAGCTGCAAACTTTGGTAAAGTTAGAAAAATTAACAAATCCATCCCAAAAAACAAAAACAACCAAACCCTAAGTTATATAGCTTTCTTGGTACATATACAGTAACTACAAAAAAAAATTTCATTTAGAAAGTGTTCATTAAAAAGAAAAAAAATCCCCTCTTGTAAATTCTCAATTGGTGGGTTGAAATTTCAATTATTAAAGTATCACAAAACTCAAACCATCCCCAAATACTCACCCAGTATTGGAAAGAATGGGTTGACCAGCTTTATAATCTGGTTGGCATTTTTGACAATTCAGTGCTTAAAAAAAAAAAAAAAGCCCCCATGTTTAGAAAGAAAGAAAGAACCCAAGGCACTTGAACATGGCTTCATGCGTCTGCTTCCGGCGTGTTCCGGGCGGGGCACGCCCAGCCCCCACGTGGAGGAGTCCAGCAGAGGTAGTTACGGGTGCCCTCGACTCTCTGTTCACACAGACAGAGGACTGGGCGTGCGGATCTTAAACACAAAAGCAGACCAGTGGGGATGGCTTCATGGCAAGAGTTCAGACTGGGCCAGGCAGGATTTTTCCTCTTTACTTTCAACAACTTCTGGATGGATGACGGCCAGGCCACCCAGGACCACCACAGGGCACATCTGTCTGATGTTAAAAGGTGATGAAGAGATGCAAAAAGGTAGTCAGGGAGATGTGCCTGCTTTCACCTTTGAGGGCCAAAACCACAAATCTTGAAAAGATTGATCTGAGCAGCAGGTCCCTTTCTTGCTAGTCAACGGCAGGAACTTCTGAAGAACTTGACATTGAGAACGTAAGCGGCCTTCACGCCAAGTCATTTCTAATTCCATCTCCAGAAAAAAAATTTTTTTGCTGATAAAATGTAGGCTTTATGTTTTTTAAAATCCCAAATAAAACACTTGAGAAGTCCAACTTTCTTTCTCTTAACCATAATACAAATTCCTGAAATTTTATAGTTACAAAAAAGAAAAAAGAAACAAAACCAGGAAGACAAGGCTTTTGAGGAAGTAGAGGGAAAAGCTACATGTTTAAGTTAAGCCTGCTAAAAACAAAAGAAAGGGATAAAGATCCCTTTTAAAAGGGGTTTCCAAAAAAACGCCCGGTGACAAGTGCTTGAGGATCACCGTCCGTTGCCGTAGCCAGGGAAGAGCTGATTGAGGACGGTCTGCAGTGGCTGGTTCACCTGCATGGAGTAGCTTCGGCCCAGGTCGTAGCGGCAAGCCGGGCAGCTGAACACCTGTGCCCTGAAGGATCTGTCCAAGCAATCCTACGAGAGAGGGCAGGGAGATGCACAGTCTTGCCACCCCTGTCCCGGGGAGGAATCTGGAGCAATCACTGACTGCCCACAGCATCCAGAGGCCGGCCCCAGTCGCACTTTCTACCACTTATCTGGCCTCCCCAGGGGCCCTCAGACTTCAAGCTTATCCTGGCTGCCAGGCCTTCACACTTGCAGGTCACACCACATGACAGTGTGCCCCCTGGCTTAGGCCTGGACCCCACTCACCCCCTCAGAGGGCCTTCCCTAGTGACCTGTGGCACCAGAGGCAGCCCCACTACCATCAGTCCTATCCTCTCACCCTGGTGGTCTCCAACACAGCATCTCCACCTTCTGGAATCATCTTGTTTACTACAGTCATGTGTCACTTAATGATGTCTTGGTCAATGATGGACCACACTGATGACAGTCGTCTCTACTGGCTGTACCATCTAGCCTAGGTGCATAATAGGGTGTATAATAGGGTGTACCATCTCGGTTTGCGTAACTACACTCAATGACATTTGAACAATGACCAAGTCGCCTACGATGTGTCCTGTCAGTAAGCTAAGTGTGAACGCAGCATGCCTGTGTGAAATAGACCAGACGTTCCCTGTGGTTTCTGACACTCCCAGCATAAGCACTAAGGACCCGATACTTAGCAGGTGCTCAATAAACATGCATGATGAGAAGGGGGGAAGAGGAAGAAATGTTGGTGGGAGAGCCAGGTTTCTAGGTTCAAACTCAATCCTCAGCCAACTGCTGCCTAGTGGGCAAAGTCAGGTAGAAACAGGGTTGTGTGGCTGATGGGTCCAGAAGAGTCAACTTCCCAATCAGGAAGACACCATACAGCTGGCCAGAGTCAACGCACACAGGTAGGCAGGTAGCTGCCTGCACATGACACCTGAAGACCACTGCCCCGTGCAGGTTGCTGCTTTTGCTTCCTATTTTTAAAAAACTCCTGAATTCTCTTTTCAGTACAGACTCTAGCCTTGATAACAGGACAAAAGGTAGTTCTTTCTGCTCAACATGACTAAGACTCAGGTATTCATTCAAACTCAGGTTGTGGATGGCAGAATGATTCACAATGGTCAAAAGATAGAAACAAGCCCAGCGTCCATGGATGGATGAGGGGATACGCAGAACGTGGTCCAGCCATACAACAGAATACAATTCAGCCTTAAAGAGGAAATTCTGGGGCCTCCCCCAGTGGCACAGAGGTTGAGTGCTGGGCTGTGAAGCTGTCCGCAGCCTTGCAGCCCCAGTTCAATGCCCGGCCGCGGGGCGAGGGTCCCACGCGGCGCGGCAGACCTCACCTGCCGCCCGCTGCTCCCCTCAGCAGTGTATTTCGTAGGTCTGCCTGTTCTGTTCCCTGCTCTGTCTCTGGTGAATCCTCTCACCCTCCCGCACTTCTGACTGTACCTAGTGCTTGTATGTATAAATAAATAAATAAATCTTAAAAAAAAAAAAAAAAAAAAAAAAGGAAATTCTGACACATGCTAGGTGGATGAACTTTGAAGATATTGTCAAGGATGATGTGATCCCACTCACAAGCACTTCCTAGAGTCACATCCAGAGAGACAGGAAGTAGAAGGTAAGTGCCAGGAGCTGGGGAGGGGAGTTAGTGTTTAATGAAGACAGAGATACAGTGTAGGAAGATGAGGAAGTTCTGGAGACGGAGGGTAGGGATGGCTGAACGACAATGTGAATGTATTTAATGCCACGCTGACGTGCACCTTTAACGATTATGATAGCACATTTATAACGTAATAGAGCAAAAATATCAGGTGCAGGGACATCTAGGTAGAGCTGCTTTCCCATAACTCCTCAGATACTGAGCTCCTGAGAGAAGTAGTGACGGTAACATGGACAGATGGGACAGACACATAAATGCCAGTAGTGTCCCTCCTCCTGCCTAGTGGCATGGCGCTTGCACAGTGGGCCAGCCTGACTCCAGGACGTTCCGTGCCCTGGAATCCCAGCAATCTGCTCCATCCTCACAGAGCCAGCCAGACATGACCTTCTGCAAGCTCCTCTGCGCCTCCTGCCCGCACGCAGGCCTGGAGCACTTCAGCATGGGCCTCACGGAGCCAGAAGCCACTCAAGGGGTAAACGCACCCCTTTCACCAGGGGCAACTGAAGCAGAGTGGGCAGGTGGTTTCCAATTCCAGAGCCAGTGGGGACAGAGGCAGGAGTGAAACTGCCTGCTGATCCTCAGAACTCTCACCCTTTTGCAACAAGCCTCTGAGCCTATCCTCAGGCTACACAAAGGCATTCACCTAGGGGAACTCAGGCTACAGAGCGGATTAGCTGGACCTGAAGGTAGAACGGCAAAGGGCCTGGAGGCCCTATTCCTCACAGTGGTCTCAGTCCCTCCCCTGCAAGGCAGATTGTCAAGACTGAAAGCAAAACTTCCAGCAGCTCAGACCAAAGGTGACTGGGAGGTGGGAAGAGACCCTTACAAAACCGCCTGCCTGCACTGCCCTTCAGTCCCTACTGACCAACTCTGGCCAGAGGACACTGCAAAGAAACCACGGATAAACATCAGCATTGCTCAACTGGACACCTGCAGGAGAAAGCCAGGAACATTGGGGATGCTCCTGGCACCAGGTAGAGGGAGTCAGAGATGCTGCTCAGCACCCCCAACATGCTCAGGATGCCTCCAGCAAAAACAAGAATGATCTGGTCCGGATGTCAGCCAGTGCCAGGATAAGAAACCAGTCAAGTGCCATCTCAGCCACTCTCAACCTCGTTTAATCCGGTGGTTTTCCTCTTAAGACTAACCAAGGGCCAGAGGCTGCAACCTCCACTGCATGGTCCAGCTCCCCAGCCCCTTGCTCCCTACCAGCCCCAGCTGTTCCAACCTCCTGCCTGGCCAGGCTTCTGCATATGACATTCTGCATCCCTCCTGCTCCTCTTGGGCACAGATACCTAAACTTCCCCATCCTGGCCCACAGCACACTTAGTCACTTTTTATGTCCAGATCACAGAGGATAGAACTGTTCCCCATTCTCTCCCACCTGGAGCCCCAGGCAAGTAGAAGGCTGGGGGGATGTTCCAGAGGGGAGGTGAGAACCAGCCAATGGATCCTAATGGAGACAGGCAAGAGTTCATTGAAGGGACAGCAGAGGGCTGGGGAGGCCCAGGCAGAAAGTTTGTGTTTTATCCCAGAGCACTGAGGAAGCCTGGAGGACAGGCACAGGGGAGTGGGGCGATGGGCGTCCATGATAAAGACCAGCAGGCCGCCAGAAAACAGACAGCAAAGCCCCGAGAAGGGCCTGGAGCCCCGGAGAGAAGCAGCAATGCAGACAAGCCTGCGTCAGCAGTGGCAGGGCTTCGGGTCATCTCCACCCCCTGCCCCCACCCGGGGATCCCTCGGCCACTTCCAGAACAGAAAGCCCCACTTTCCACCCTTCTCACCTTGCACACGTTATGCTGACAAACGGTCGTGATTGGGCGGAACACCAGTTCCTGGCAACAGATGCACTGGAACGTTTCCTCCACTTTGCTCAGGAATTTCTGAAACTAAAGGAAAGCCCACACATGAGCCAGATAACCACCACCCTCCAGGGGTTCTCCCGTGAAGCACTGGCCCAGGGCCTGAATTACATCCCTTGGCTCCCACCCCCAGGAAGAGAGAATGGTTGTGATGCCCACTTTTTTTTCTATTTTTCTTTTCTTTTTCTTTGTTTCTTTTATATATTTTTTACATCATTTTTCATTTTTGCACAATGCATGCATTTTCATCTTGATTATAGTTCCCACCCCCCTTATTTTGACCCCCCTTATTTTTACAGTTCCCACCCCCCTTATTTTGACCATAATCCCTCCTAGCCCTCCCCCTGGATGCCCATTTTAAGAGAGAAAAGAGGAGGCCCAGGGAGGCACAGCCATGCCCAGGTCCCCTCCTTGCGCTGAGACAGGCCGGAGTTATGGTGAAAGGCCCTGAGCGGGAGCAGCCAACCCCAGGGCACAGCCAGGGTCCATCAGCTCAACAGCCAGGGCCCAGTGGTGGGTTAAATACAGGGACCTGGAGCCCAGGGTAAGAGACCCGAGGCGGAACAGATGGAGACAGAGACGCTGAGCAGCACATGGGGGAGAACAGCAGGGAGGTGGGGTGTGGGGAGGGTGGGAGCTGCCCTGCAATGCTGGGGTCAGAGGGCGCCACAGAGAGGGTGGCCTGCAGGACATGAGGTGGCTGAATTGTGGCCCCCAACACACCCACGTCACATCTGGGGCTCGTGGACATGTCACCTCACATGGCAAAAGCGTCTTTGCAGTGGGGATGAAGTTGAGACCCCTGAGGTAAGGAGCATCCTGGATCCCCGGGGCCCCGGTGTCCCCATGAGGTTCCTTATAGAGGGAGGAGGAGGGTTTGATGCAGAGAGACAGAAAGAGGCTGCGCTGCTGGCTGTGAGGACAGAGGAAGGGCCTGAGCTCAGGAAAGGGGTATCTCTAAGAGGCTGGAAAGGGGATCCCATGGAGCCTCAAGAGGAGCCAGCCTGCCTACATCTGGGTTTTAATTCCTGAAGACACATTTGTAAGTGCAGCCACAGGGGGAAGAGGCTGAGTCAAGAAGGGAGGGAGGAAGTGCTCTAGGGAGGATGTGGGAAGGCACAAGCCCTACAAAGGAATGACCAGAAAGAGTCCAGCAGGAGGACATTGGCAGGAACAGGCAGCCGGCCCAGGGCTCATAGGGTTTGGGTTGACTCAAGGATAGCAATTCCTATGGCAGAGGACACCAAGGCATTAGCTGACGTGGTGGGCCTCAAAAGCACCGTAAATAAGATAATCTAGACACAAACAAACCAACACCGACTCCACTGTACCAGGTCCCCAGAGGAGTCACATCCATACAGGCAGGAGTGGATGGTGGGGGCGGGGCGGGGAAAGGTGGGAGCTAGTGTTTAATGGGGACAGTTTTGGTCAGGAACTATGAGAAAGTTCTGGGACTGGATGGTGAGGACGCTGCACAGCCATGTGACCGTGTTTAACGTGGGTGAACTTCAATAGGTCAGGATGGTTAATTTCATGTTACATCTACACACACACAAGCACATACACACATGCGCGAGGGGCCACAGAGGCCGCCAGGCCCTGCGGGGCTCACCGGGCCATCCTTGAGCGACCTCTGGATCTCATTCCACAGCTTGGCGTTGCTCTTGTCCTCCTTGATGAGGCTGCTCTGCTGTGCCGTGAGGCTGTAGGGCTCTACTTTGCTCTTCTTGGGTGTCCCTCGAGGGGACCCACTGCTGGATTTGCCACCTGCTAGGACAGAAAGGGTGGGTGAGGGCAGCGGGGGACCCCCACCTGGTGACAACCCGCGGGGACACGCGCGGGCGCCCACCTGTGGATTTGCTCTTCCGCTTGCCCTTGCCCTTCTTGGGGGACGTGAAGGCCTCGTCCTCCTCCTCCTCCTCCTCCTCCTCCGTGTCCTCAGCCACCCTCTTGCGGTTCTCCTTCTCTTTCTCCTTCCTGGCCAGGGCCTCCAAATAGCCTTCAGGATACTGTGCAGGGGGACAGGTGGTGAAGAGCAAGCTTTAGTCCCAGTCACCTGGGTCTCCTTAGGGGCGGGAGGCATCCTCCCCCACCACCTGGCACCTCTTTGTGCTTCCTGCCACCTCCCTATCATACTCACCTCCTTGCCACTCCCTCCCAGCCCTTAGAGACACCATGATCTGACCCAGCTGAGGGGCCTCCCCTACTCAGCCTGGTGTCTCCGGCAATAGCTCACTAATCGCAGCCATTTACCTGGAATAAAGGCCTCAGGTACCATCCGCCAGGCAGGGTGGAGGTGAGGTATTAAATGAGATAATGCTTAGTATTAGCAGATGCTTAGCAACAGAGTAGGCAAATAAGATAGGTTTATTATCTTATTTAATTAAGTTAGGGGCAGGAATACTTTTCCAACAGGAGCCAAAGAGTAAAAATTTCCAGCTTTGTGGGAAATAGTGAGAGCTTGACTATTATTCAAAAGCAGGCATGCTCATAAGTGAGTGAAACAACTGGCCCCAGGGCCTTAGCTTGCCAATCCATACCCCAACCAAGATTCTGATGCATCGTGGGGTCCTCAGACCCTAACAGTTATTCAGACTCCACCTCTAAGGACCCTACACAGTCCTGTCTGACTGCCAGATAAGACATCAAGAAATGTCTACAGATATTTAGCAACATTAAGTCGCAATGATGATTGAAGTCATAAATCAGAACCCTATTTCCAGCTGAAGCTGATGCCCTATCCCAGGGTCCCCAGGCTACTTCCCCCACCCACCTCAGCTTCTGAAATTCCCTGTGGTACAAACATGTTCAAAAGGCAACTTGCTGTGACCCCCCCCACCCCCAGGGCGTAGGCACTAGCAGACTCTCAATAGCAATTAAGATTCCTTAAATAGTCCCACAACAATTTATCAGCTGTAGAGCATCTCACCATAATGAACAGAAAATACCATAATTATAGTGCAAAAGAGCTGTATTCCCGCTTTGGGTAAACTCTGGAAGAGTCTGTTGCTATGAAGAGGTGAGCAATTGCTCCAAGGGGCTATTCCTTCTATCTTCACATCCAGTGCTCTCTATTTCAAGATTTTGGTTGGTTTGTCCCTGCTTGTTTTTTTCTCTTTGTAAGTTGGGGTTTACTTTTGAGGGGAAGGGGGAGAAATAGGGCCGAGTGAAGAGCAGAGGAGACTGGATTCCAAACTAATTTTGGACAAGCTCCTCTTCTAATACTGTGATAACGAAGTCTAGATTAGAACTGTAAAACTGTGAATGGAAAGACATAAAGAGGCAAAAACACGACCAGCTGGTGCCAGTGTCCACCAGCTAAGGAAGAGAAAGGCCTCAGGCAGCAAGGTGACAGCTGTTTGGAATCTGGAATGGGAGAAACCCAGGAGCGCTTCAGGCCTGGAACCAATACTTGGGCTGGCTGCTGTCATGAGCCCCAGAAGCTGACCCATCATGACAAGCCCATGACTACCAGACACTAACGACCAGGAAGAGGGCAGAGCTGGCACCCCCACACCCCAGTGAGTCCAGCCAGGCCGCACCTGCATGGTCAGCCCCAGCTTCTTGATCCGGTCCTTCCCTTCCTTGGTCCAGGGGCCGGGTTCATCGTCATCTCTCCGCAGGAGATAGCGCCACACCAGAAAGCCAGATTTCCCCTTCTCGGGCCAGTACCTCACGACCTGCAGGAAGTGAGGACCAAGGTCAGAGACATCTCACACCCTTGGTGGCCACAACAGAGGGGCCATGGCTTCCCTCCCCTCCCCCAGCAGGCAGGAGCATTCACCTTGTAGATGCCGTCGTACCGGTTGCCCTCAGCGGGGGCGTACTTGCTGTGCTTGCCGCCCTTGACATTCCGCACCACCCTGACCGGCTTCCCTGACCTCCAGTCCTTGGCCTCAGCCCCTTTGCGGTCGTTGATGGGGGCACTGCAGTTCAGAGCCAGCGCCCTGCGGGGAGAGGCAGGAACCTGTGCATTGTAGTTGGGCTGCATTTCCCAAGAAGGGAGGCCCAGTCCTAAGCCCTAGAACCTGTGAGCACGGCCTTTGGAAACAGGGTGCTTGCAGAGGGAGTTCAAGCCAGAATGGATGAAGGGGGCCCTAAATCTCATGACCAGTATCCTATATGCAAAGGGAAATCTAGACACACACCAGCAGGGAGGCCATGGGAAGATGGAGGATGAGGGCTGAGGATGTGTCTGGAAGCCATGAGGCTGCTAGGATTGCTAGCAGCCACGAGAGTCAAGGAGTGGGAAGAGGGACTCTCCAGGTTTCAGGGGAGCACAGTCTTGCTGTCACCTTGATTTCAGACTTTGGGCACAGAGAACTGTGCAAGGGGAAATTCCTACTGCTCTTAAAACCCCAGGTTCAGGGTATTTTGTTACTGGTGTCACAGGACACTAACACACCACCAGGTAAGAGGCCATCAGGAGGAGAAGAGGCATTGCTTCTCGGGCTTTTGGCTAAGATCCAGCGTGACAAAGAAAAGAGGCGGCGCAAAAGCACATGCCTGGCCAGCAGGTCTGTCCCAGCAGGGCCACCGAGGCCGGGTGACCAGGGCAGAGGTCAGGCTCGCCACTGACGCAATGGGGCTGCTTCCTCGGGGATGAAAGAAAAACTAGCCGCCACGAGACATTGTTCTCTCTGCACAAGCACATGTGAGGAATGGATTTCATGGTGCTTTGCATCTGAGCACTTAAAGTAAGCGCATGAGCAGTTCCTCACGTCATTAAACCTCTCCTAAAAATGGAATTTTTAACGTCTACTCAAATTAAAATATTCCATTAGAGAAAAGAATGTACTACAATGGACTCTTCCTTATTTTCTATTGCTATTTTGTTCTTTTAGTAAACAAGACACATGAAATTCTCACCTCCTGTCAATCATGACCTATAGGGTCTTTTCAATGTGGATCTTTAGGGTCATGAGAAAAGACAGACACAAGGCTCTATAGAGAGAGGGAAACTTTCCAGAAATATATATTTCTACCAATAGTGGAATACTGTTGGCATGACTTGGCATTTGCAAACATTTTTAAATTCTTGACCCATACTGTAGGGGAAAAGAAACAGTGTTGTACCAATGCTTGAACTTGTATTTATTTGATTACTGAAACTGAACAGTTTGTCATAGTCGTTAGAGATGTGCATCTCTTTGGGGAATTATTTTTATGTCTTTTGATTTTTTAAAATTAGTTTTTCTTAATGATTTGCAACAACTTTAAATTAAGGACATAACCATCACGGTCATATTTTGATGGAATTTATTGATGCAATTTATGAAGTGTACATCATCAAATCTCTGTCTTTTCTTTTGGGCTTTCTGATGCATTTCACACTTAAAAAGTCCTCCAGCATCCTGCCAACTCACCTTCCACTTGGATTTGCAAATAAAGTTTTACTGGAACACAGCCCTGCTCACTCATTTACACATGGTCTGTGTCTGCTCTTGTGCTATGATGGCAGCTGAGCAGCTGCAATAGAAGAAACCTGCATAAAATAGCAACTATTACCTGGCCTTTAGGGGGAAAGTCTGCTTTAATGCATCTGAAACACTCTCAAGTCTTAAGCAGAGAAGGGGAAAAAATGGATGTTCAGCATCCCTACTTCCATCACACTCATCACAGGAGTCTAACTTTCTGGACATGACACCCCAAAAGAACATCTCCTACTGCCCATGTGGCTGCCAGAGGACAGAGAAGAACGTCAGAGAAGAAGAAAACCTGCTTTCACAAACCTGTTAGTGTTGGTGAGTTTCTGATCACAGGACTGTTCTGCAGTCCGCTTGTTGCCAGAAAGGTCTCGGCCACCGCTACCTGTGTAGGTGAAAAAGTTCCCATGGTCCTAAAACAGACAGAAGGGCTGGGTGAGCATTCGGCAGAGGAGAGAAGCGCCACTGCAAAGAGACCCCGCACACCCATCAGGATGGCAACTGCCAGGAACAGAAACTGGTGTTGGGGAGGATGTGGAGGAACTGGAAACCTTGTAACGGCTGGTGGGAACGTGGGATGGTGCAATGTGGGAAATGTATGAAAGGGCCTCAGAGATTTAAAAACAATAACCTCAGTACTCAGCAATTCCACTTATAGGGATACACTCCCCAGAGGAATTAAGGCAAGGTCTTGAAGTGATAGTTGCAGTGATGTTCATACTGCAACGGTTCACAACAGCAAAATCACAGAAACAACTGGCTACCAATATGTGAATGGATAAGCAAAATATGGTCTATCCATGCGGTGGAATATTACTCAGCCTTAAAAAAGGAAGGTGAGTCTGACACACACACAACCACATGGATGAATCATGAAGACATGACGCTCAATAAAATAAGTCACACACAGAAGGAGGGCCCTAAAGGAGTCACATCCATAGAGACAAGAAGTAGAAAGGTGGTGCCAGGAGCGGGAGGAGGGGGGAAAGGGAGTTAGTGTTTAATGGGGCAGAGTTTCATTTGGTGAAAGATGAGAAAGTTCTTGAGATGGACGGTGGGGACGGCTGCACAACAGCATAAATGCACTTAATGCCAACAACTGCACTTAAAAATTATTAAAATGGCAAAATTTGTTTTTACATTTGCCACCCCCCCCCAAAAAAAAAAAATCAACCAATCCCGCCACACTCACCACGTCATCCTCATACCCTCCAGCCAGGACCAGGGAGTAGGCCCCATCATTGCTCCGGCCATGGATGCCTGCCACGTGAGGCCGGTGGACTCCTGATTCGCTGACCTGTGATAACACCGAGCAATAAACTGCACTTTCTGGACTGACAGCTGTAGAAACCCGTCAACCCACCCCTTCCCCCCGCCTCCAGAGCCAGTGACCCAATTCTGAGCTACAGCACAGAAAGAGCCGGCTTATATTCCAGCCCTGCCACTTGCTCTGGAAGCAGCTTCTGGAAGGCTAGCACCTATAAGCCAAGCCCCGGGTCCCAGGATGTTCACAGGTACCTGGACTCTGAACCTCCACATGGTGCCCACGGGGATCCCTGGGATGGGTCCATAGTGGTTGGATGGTACGATGGTGCACTCCTTGGTGCGTCCCACACAGGCCATGCCCTGCTCATTCCAGAGGCAGAGAGGGAAGAGCAAGTTGAGTGTGAGCAGGAAGGCATGGAGGGAGGGCAGGAGCACGAGCAAAGAGAGGAGCCTCTCACCTTGCCCCAGTCCCGTCGGGAGGACGATGTGGCCGATGCCATCTTAGCCTTCTTCTTGCTCTCTTTCAGCTTCTCCCCTGCCAGTACTACCTCGCTGGCATCATTTCGACACTCAGGACAGTACCTAGAACAGGGATGTCACCTTCTATGTGAAAGCCCATCCCTTCCTTGTTGGCCTGCCCATTCCACGGGCCCCACACTGCAGACTCGCCATCTGTCTCCTGGCTCCCTGCTGTCCTGTGCTATGCAAGGTGGGGGCCATTTAAATTCAAATACGTCTGGTTCCTTGGTCTTACGTACTACACCAAAGGTCCTTGATAGCCATGTGTAGCTAGTGGTGACCTGATGGACGGCACAGATCAAAAGCACATCCATCATCACGGAACATGCTATTGGTCAGCAAGCCCTTATCCCGCTCCTGCTGAGATTCCACAGTGCCTCCCAATAACACGGGTAAATCCAGTGGGAACACATGGGCATTTCAATAGGCATCATCTCACTGCCGTGGACTCAATTTTGACATCTCTACAAACCATGGGGGATGTGGTGTGCAAGCAGCAGCCACTCCCCAGCTACAGGAACAGCTTCTTTAACACAGGAGTGCCTTGACAGAGCCCAGCACATCACAAGCTTCTGGCCGCGTCAGCAGTCACCTTTAACACGCGCCGAGAACATCATAGTGAAGAGGCCTGGGGCACAGGGGACAGCAGCTCCCTGCGTCTAACCTGCCAGGACTCCTTCCCTGCACTTATTTGAGGCCTAAGTCCCCATTTCTTATTGTCCCTTTCAGGCTTACTGGGTGACAGGCATTAGCCTCATTTCTTGGCATCCTGCACCCCGACCCGGATGGCTGAGTGCCCACAGCCCCGAGCTGTCTCTGGCATGGGCAGGGTCTCTGTCCACTCACCACTCGTCCTCCTTGGGAATGCTGCTGAGGGGCGGGCAGAGGCAGTAGATGTGGAAGGCCATGTCGCACTCGTCGCACATGAGCTGCTTGTCGGGGTCCTGCTTGCCGCCGCACAGGTGGCAGGCACACACCCGGCAGGCCTTGCTCTCGTCGTCCTTGCACTGCTTGCAGGAGGGCCCGCTCTTCCCTGGGCATGAGGGCAGAGTCAGCTCAAGTGGTACCACGTCAAGGATGATAGGAGCCCCTACCCCGCCCCACCCCTGGCCTGCCTGGGAGACTCGCTGGGACAGGGTCAGAACTCACTTCTCAATGGATTCTCCACCACGGGGCTCCCCTCGCCTGGGCGCTCAATCTTGAAAACTTCATCCACAAAGATCACCCGACAGTCGTTGAGATAATCACCCCTGTGAGAGACAAGCTGTCAGAACAGCCTGGCTGGCCAGCCCACCCGGAAGCCTGAGAGGGATTTTACCCTGACACATTTGGGGGCACAGAACACCTCTGGCTCCAGTTACATCACATTAGAGCTCTCCCAGGGTCCCCTACATTTGCTTGGCTACCTCCCTTGCCAATTCTAGTCCTACCAAGTCAGACACAACATCCAGGCTGCACCTAAGCTGGAGCTTCATCACATGATGCACTTGAGAGGAAGTTCTAGCCTTCCAATGAAACAGGGTCCAACATGTAAAAACCATAAAAGCCAAGTCTGATCAATGTTACATTAAAATTCTCTCCTTTAAGTTAAAACCACCCCCAGGGGGCCTACCCTGGTGGCGCAGCGGTTGAGCGCTGGGCTACGAGGCTGCCCCCAGCCTCTGCAGCGCTGGTTCGTTCCCCAGCCACCGGTGAGGGTCCCACAAAAAAAAAAAAACACCCAGGGATCAATACAACTTCCAATTTAGTAAACTCAGATGGAAGTCAAATATGGACCACATACAGATGTGTAATTTTACATGTTCTAACAACCACATTCAAAAAGTGAAAACAGATGGAACCAATTTGAATGTTTGATGTAACCCAGTGTACACAAAATATTATTTCAAAATATAATGGTAAGAGAATTATTTTTTTATAAAAGAGTGGAAATTTATTTTTTTTTAAGATTTATTTATTTATACAAGAACTGGGGTACAGTGTGAGGCGCAGGAGGGTGAGAGAATTCACCAGAGACAGAGCGGGGAGCAGAACAGGCAAACAGACCGAAATCACTGCTGAGGGGAGCAGTGGGCAAGGCAGGAGAGGTCTGCCGCGCCATGTGGGTTTCTCCCTAGCCGGCCAGGAATTGAACCCACGCTGCAGAGGCTGTGGGCAGCTTCACAACGCTGCGCACAACCCACTGCGCCACCGGGGAGGCCCATGATTAGAGAATTATTAATGAGCTATTTTATATTGCTTTTCGCCACACTCAGCCTCAAAATCCGATGTGTATTTCGCGCTTAAGGCACATCTCAATTTATACTGGCCACACTGCAAGGGTTCAGAACAAAGGGTTAGTCAGCACTGGGCCAGTTCTATCCACCAGTTCATGTGAACACAGGTCCAGGGAACACAGAAAGGACACCATGAAGGTGCAGAAGGCAAACTCCGATTGTGAAAAGTCATTGAAATTAACCAGGTTTCCTTGACAAATAGAGTTAAGAAAAAGAAGGGGGGACATGCAGAAAGATCAAAAGAAATTTATTTTTTTTAAGGATTTATTTTTATTTATGCATATAAGAACTACAGTGTACACCAGAGGTGCGGGGGATAAGGGGATTCACCGGGAAGCAGAGCAGCGGATCTACTGAGATACACTGCTGAGGGGAACAGCAAGCAAGACAGAAGAGTTCTGCTGTGCCACGTGGGTCAGCTCCCAGGCCGGGGATCCCCAGATTAAAAGGAATTTAAAAGATATATATCAGCTTAACTGAAATCTGTAGATATATAGTCTTAAAGCAAAAATATGTAAGGAAACCAAGTAAATTCTTCAAGAGCAGCTGAGATTTTTTTCCCCCCTCAACAACATTGTAACAAAATTTAAGGACTTGCTATACTTAGATTCTGATTGCATAATTTTTTAAGTGAGATCACTGGAAGATTAAACAATGACTTGATATGTATTAAAACATATTGCTAAGTTTTAGGTTGTGATAACAGCATTATAACTATGTTTCTTAGAAAGCATCACTTAAAATACAATCTAAAATATTTATGGATTAAATGATAGTGGGAGTTACTTCAACATAATGGAGGTGGGAGCACCAGATGATGGAAAAGTAAAAGATTCTGTTGCAAGAAGCAGCACCCTTGGGCCTCCCTGGTGGCGCAGCAGTTGAGCGCTGGGTTGTGAAGCTGCCTGCAGCCTCTGCGGCGCCGGTTCGATCCCCAGCTGCTCCCCGGCCACCGGAGGAGGGTCCCGCATGGCGCGCAGACCTCTCCTGCCGCCCGCTGCTCCCCTCAGCAGTGTACTTCAGTCCCTCTGCCTGCTCTGCTCCCCGCTCTGGCTCTGGTGAATTCTCTCACCGTCCCGCGCTTCTGACTGTACCCAGTGCATGTATAAACAAACAAACAAACAAATAAATAAATAAAACATGCCTCTATAAAAAATAAATAAAAATAAATTTTAAAAAAAAAAAAAAAAAAAAAAAAAAGAAGCAGCACCCTTAAGGAACAACTAACAGAAGTTCTTCAAATAGGAAATTTTATAAAGCAAGGAATTTTTGAGATGTAAGAAAAAGCAGAAATATGGGTATATATAATAGGTTGTCCTCCTTACAAGTTTTCTGTTATATATGACAATCAAAATTAAAATTTTAACACTCTGATACACAGCAAGCGAGGAAGAGTAAAGAGATGCCTCAAAATAGTAAAAGTGATGCCAGTCGGGGGCCTCCCTGGTGGTGCAAGGGGTTAAGATGCAACCTATGAAGCTGTCCACAGCCACTGCAGCACGAGTTCGATCCCCGGCCAGGGAGCTACCCACATGGCGCAGCAGACCTCTCCTGACTTGCCCACTGCTTCCCTCAGCAGTGTATTTCAGCACATCTGCCTGTTCTGTTCCCGACTCTGTTTCTGGTGAATCTTCTCACCACCCACACCACTGGCCTGTACCCCAGTTCTTGTATGCATAAATAAGTAAATCTTTTAAAAAAGGTGATACCAGTCTGTCACATGTTTACATAGTAAAATCCAGAGACACTACTAAGATAACAAATCAAAGCAACACACTCAAGACTATAAATAAATCAAGACAGAATCCTAAAATTATTTATGTAACTCACAGAAAGAGCAGATAAACAGAAAAAGAGGAACAAGAAATAAAGGTCACCAAAAATGAAACAGGAGACTTAATCCCAACATACCAATAATTACCTTTAATGTAAATGATCTAAAAATGTCAATCAAAAGGCAAAGATTGGCACCACTGATTTTTATTAACCCAATTATATACTGTTTACAAGAAAGCCCACATCAAATTCAACCATATAGCTTGAGAGCATAGAAAACAATACACCATGCTAACATTAACTGTTTTAAGAAAAATCAGGAGTGTCACTATACATACAAATACACACACACACACACACACACATCCCTCAGATAAAGGTGGTTTCAGAGTAAAAAAAAATTATTAGAGACAAAGGGGACCATCACATAATAATAAAAGGATCAGCTGTCCAAGAGACATAACCATACTAAATGTGAATGTACCAAACAACATAGCATCACAAATATGAAAGCTGAAAGAAGAGACAAATCCACAATTATAGTGGGGGACTTCAATCTTGCCAACTCACACAAATATCAGACAGAAAATCAGCAAGAATATAGAAAATGTGAGCAGTACAATCAACCAACAGAATCCAACAGATATAAATAGCACACTCCACTCAACAACAGAATATATCAAACACAACCCCAAGCAACCATGGAGTAGTCACCAAGACAGATCATATACCTTTTTTTGTTTTGTTTTGTTTTTTTGCCTTTTTACTTATTTTATTTGCATAAAATTTTTTTTTCCAGCAAAAGAGGAGAATCCTCCAGCATATCTTTTATTTTAATTGTGTGATATACTAGTTTTTATTTTTTTATAATAAATTTTATTTTTATATTCCCCATACAATTGCAACCCCCTTATTTTGACCCCAATCCCTCCCCTCCCACCCTCTACCCCCCATAGAGTGTCTCTGGTTCATAGTTTTTTGTTGATTTTGATTTTCACTTTCTTATAGTTATTCATTTTCCTGGTCCCTTATTTAAGTTTTCTAGATTCCTGCTATGAGTGAGACCATCCGGTATTTTTCTTTTTCTTTCTGGCTTATTTCGCTGAGCATGATCCCTTCCAGCGCCATCATGTTGCTGCAAATTGCATGTGTTTATCTTTTTTGAATGCTGAGTAATATTCCATGGTATATATGTACCACATCTTCTTGATTCAGTCAAGACAGATCATGTTCTGAGCCATGAAACAAACCTCAACAAATTTGGAAGAACTGAAGTCATGGAGTATGTTCTTTGACTATAATGCAGTCAAATTCGAAAACGGTAACAGAAAGACAAAATCTCTGAACACTTGGGAATTAACACTTGCAAAAATCTCCAAACATATGAGATTTAAACACCATACTTCCAAACACACCAAGAGTAAAAGAGAAGTCTCAAAGGAAACAGAACTGAAAATAAAAAAATTTAACACAGCAAAACATGTGGGAAGCAGTTAAAGCAGACTTATGACACTAAACTTAGAGCACTAAAGAATGCCTCAAATCAATAGTCTAAGCTGCTGCCTAAAGAAACCAATCCAAAGTAGAAGGGGAAAAATTTAAAAGAAGAGAGCAGAAATCAACGAAATGAAAACAATAGGGAAGCAATGATACAAAAAGCTGGGTTTTACAAATAACCAGTGAAAATGACAAACCACTAATAAGAGTAACAGAGAGAAAAGATATAACCACCAAGTTCCGGAATAAGACAGGTCGAGCCACAGACCCTGCTGGCGTGGAAGAGTAAGAAATACCAGTAATAATAACTCTGCTCTCACAGAAATGGGCTAATTCTGTGAAAACCACAAACTAATTAAACTCAGCCACAATGAAATAGTTCAGATAGTCCCACAATCATTAAAGAAAATGTATTAATAAATAACACCCCCCAAGGAAATCTCCAGATCCCAATGGATTTCACTAGAGAATCCCAATCACACATTTTTAAGAGTTATCATCTTGACACAATCTTTTCCAGAAAATAGAACAACATAGACTATGTCCCAACTCATTTTTATGAAGCCAAGACTACCTGGACATCAGAACCAAACAAAATAAGAAAACTACAGACCACTATGACTCATGAATTTAGGCAAATGAATCCTTAACAACCCCAAACTGGAAAACAACCCAGATGTCCTTCAACGAGTAAGTGGTTA